GCAAGTTTGCAAAAACTAATTGGAGGGATCGGAGGAGCTTACGGTTCTCTCCTCGGGGCCATCTCGATCCGCCAAAACGGTGAAGAATCGGTGAAGATCCAAGGGGGGAGTGGAGGAGATGAGAGAGGGAGAGAGGGGCGACTTGGGGGAGAAAGAAAGGAGAAACTGCCGACTTGGGGGAGGGGAGGGGTGGGGAGAAGGGAAGAGGCGCGGTCTCGGGCGAAATAACTGCCCCACACCCTACCGCCAGGGCCCCTGGCGGTAAAGTTAGACAGCCTACCGCCAAGGCCCATGACGGTAGGGTGCGACGGAGGGGCGACGGCGCCGTCTCCGCGTGCTGATGTGGATAAGTTTCCTACCGCCATGGGACCTGGCGGTAGGCTATCTAACCCTACCAGATGCCCTGGCGGTAGGCAAAAGGGTCAAATCTTAAAAAAAATTCAAACCGGGACCAGATCCTGAAATACTTTCTAAAAAGGGTCAAAACACGAAATTCGGCCGCCCTAACATGCCAACTGGGCTAGTAGGGGCTAATGGTTTCCCGAGACCTCCTGGGTAACTTTAGATGAGATCAACAGTCCCCTAGCAATTTGGGGTCGCGAGAATATAGTAATCACTAGAATGAATTCATCAGGTGCCCATCAAATCACTTCAGAATCTTTCCAGTGTACTTTTACATACTAATCACTTCAGAATCTTTCCAGTGTACTTTTACATACTAATCACTTCAGAATCTTTCCAACGTACTTTTACATGCTTGTTCCTCGACAAATGCAACATACAATTACAATCCAGAATGTTTTCACACTTAAAAAAAAGTTACACCCTCAATTACAGCGGCTTCCCTAAAACCACTTGCGATATTTATGCTCTCTACACTCAGCTGCGAGCTAGAACAGCCTAATAACAAATCATACCAGTAACAATGGAGAAAATGTAAACACAATTGTGTACGGCGCCGTTCCATGGGAACACATTATTGTCGACCAAACTGAGAACGGAAGGGCGCGCGTCGATTGCACCCTCTCACGGGATGAACCTAAACACGAAAGCAGGGCTCTGGAAGTCGACGAACTTGTAAGATCCGTCGAGCGAGTTCAGATAGATTGCTTCACGGGGCTCTTCGCTCACGCCACTCTGCATGGCATACTCCAGTGCCATTTCATAGTCAACCTGGTTTGATGTCGGGGCAAACAAGATCGATCAATCTTACGATAACAAATCAGAACCGGTGAAAGGTAGTACAACATTTTTTAGTCTATATGCCGGGATTCAGGACTGGAAGTACCTTTGCACCAAGAAAGGCAGTTGACAGTTTTAAGATGTTATAATGTAAGTTCATAAAGATATACTCCCTCCGTCCCGAATTACTTGTCTTAGGTTTAGATACATCCGTATCTAGACAAATCTAAGACAAAAAATTTGGGACGGAGGTAATAGATTTGTGTGAACCAGATATGACTTTTATGTGACAGCAGTGTAGTCACAGAAAGGTGCAAAACTATCGGCTGTATAGAGCACGGGACGAAAAAATATATAATGCATATTGCTTTCATGCTTTGGTTTATGTTATGCTAGAGTGTTAGGTTTGCCCTTACCTGTTCAACATGCTGCGTTAAGCAATCTCTCAAAGTCATTTCTGTCACTTCCTCCGAATTTATTTTCTCGAGGAGTTCCTCGTCTTCCTTGTCAAACCGTGGCCTCTTGGGGGGAGACTCGTCTGCAAGTTCTCCCAGAGTCTCCATAATTGTTCTTGCCACATCAGGAATGTATCTGTGAATAAGAAATCACTAAAGTAAGATAAGACCTTGTCTAATTCTGGATTATCTGGTGTCAGCGTCAAAAAGCATGTTCATAAATCAGTCTTTGAATATCAGCCACCTGTTCTTTCACACAAATATTGCTTAAAATTAAGGAAAGACTGCCCTAAATTTCCGAAGTGAGCCTAAATCTCGCAACGCATCGTTTATTAACCAACATCAACATTCAACAAGCACTACTGAATGCATGATTGAGCAAACGCCCTGATTCAAAACATAGCCATAGCAAAAATACAAACAGCCTGACATCTACGCTCAAACTAGACATCACCACATCCCCAAAGAATATCCAATACAAACTTTGTGGCAGAGGAGTTACTTGTTCAGGTTCCTTTTCCTGTCCTGCTGTTCACGAGCCTGAAGTTTCTTCACTATCTTTGACTTCAGTTGGACACAGCACTGCTTAAGAGCTGACTGAAGGTGCAAGTAGATTGCTATCAGATGAGTAGATGACCATACAATGACAGTAAATAAGGAAAGTCTGAATATACCTTGACAGCATCTGCTATCTCGGTTATATCATCCCCAATATACTCTTTTCCAGTTCCTTTAAAAGGTATCTTTGTACTGACAATGCTCACGAAGACACCAATCTTGTCCTGCTGCTGATTAATTTTGTAGATGCTCCAACTAAAAGGAAGAGGAAGACGAGAGTAATGGAAGAGACAAACATCTGAAGTACAACAGAAGTACTAACAGGAAAAACTTACTTTATCCTTTTTAGGGCAGTTCTTGTGATGACATCAGCACCTTGTTCAAAAAGAAGTGGTATGCGGTTTGCAAACCTAAAAATATTTAGACCCTGGAAAAAATGTAAGAATTGCTATCATCAGAAGGAAATTGTTTTAGCATGAATCTTCTCGGCAAGGAAAATATTAACAATGGAAAGGTGGTTCCCTAGACTGGAGCTCGGGGTGTGGTATTAAGTATTAACACAAATAATAGGTTTAGCAGTGTGATCAAAAGTTTATCCACTAAATCAGTAAATGGAACGATTCAGGGGTATCTTAAAAATGCAGGTAGCTTTTTTATTTAATACCACATGGGCCACACTGATGTCAACAAATGGCCACACATTTTGTCGTCTGCTAGTTGCAAATTCATAAGGGTGCACTTTTCATATAAAAAATGGATCACTATTTGTTTTACAACAGTCCTTTGTATGAGTTTGACTATATATATAACATATGCTAATGCACTCGAGAAAAAAACAGATGAAAGAGCATCAGCAGAAATCTAACAGACACTTCATATGGAATAAGAAATGATAGAATAAACTACTATCAATTTTGACATTCACAATAGCTGCCATCACACACTGTAAGCAGCTACGAGAAAACAAAGGTGTTCAATGCTGGGAGTGTGGGGACATAGGAGGAGAGGGTGTAGACTTGACTGGGGAAGAAAAATACAGGACAGGGAGGATAAGAACAGCAAGGAGGGTGGGAACCAAGCAGATGGTGGGGAAGTATAGATACGTGGCCCAGTGGGGCAGACATACAGGGAAGAGGTGTACAGATATTGACTGGGATAGGGCACTGATTGTTTCTTGCTTGAACCGAACTAGATTGGCATCCCCCTTTTGTGGAGAGGGCCCCTAACAAAATAAACTATCCAATCCACCTAGATCACTAACTGCTAGCGATAGAAAATTTCCAAAACCATGTCATCTTATGGGAGCCGACTACGTCACAAAAACTAGTTCTCTTCTCTCTTCAAAAGGAACACTGGAACAAAACTCATTGAAATAAAACTAACTCATCCTGAACTTCGTGGCTGCTGCTAAGGTATGTGGTTCCTCCTTTATCCAGCCAACAACAAAAGGAGCAAGACAGAACATGTTTCCAGGATATTCTTTAAGATGACAGAGACAGAAAATACTCCTTGAGAAATACAAAACAACAGTTTCTTACTTGTTTAACATCTTTTCCACCAATGCTTACTCCGGCTTCAACAATAAACGGATGCCCTTCAAAAACCTGAGGGCTAAACAGAGGGGTAGCCTTATGACATTAGGATAATTGAACTGAAAATAAGATAGAAACACCATCTGGGACATTCTCTGAGTAAATGCTATACCTGCTTGCGTGTGTTGCAACCAGATCAGGGTGCAGCTCTTTTATGATACCTAGACGTAAATTGTATTCACCTGCAGGGCTAAGACACTACAGAATTGGTTGATTTCTATACTGTGATCGCTAATTGTGCATTTGTGAAAGATTTAGCCAATAAGCAGCTGATGAGTGATTAACAAATCAAGGAGGAAAGGGATGCATACATTGCCACTGGGATCATCAAACTTAGCCTGCCGAAACAACTGATGTATTCGTACTAACTGTTGTGATGTAAGGCTGTTGACTGTTGTTTTTGCACTAAAATCAGGCCCCATTTCCCCTGTCAAATTGGATATTTGTGATATGCAAAATAAAATTGGTAAAGGTATCAACCATAGGTAGATTAACAAAGTATAATGACGGTACCACTATATATATTTAACTCAACAGACAGGCTTCACAAAGAAATGATTTGACTGGAAGTATAGTATATTGCAAATAGCAACACATGAACTCAAAACCATGTACAAAGCAAGAACATATGTAATCACTAAAGGTATTGTTACTCCAAATCTTCAAAATATATCACTTTAGAAATATGAACCATAGAATACATGGTTATAAAAGTAGATAGTGCCTAAGTTATTTGATTTTCAACCTGACAACCCCACTACCACAGCCACCACGAAAACCCCAGCACACTGCATATCACACAACTAAGTAACTCACCAATTAAACGGTCAGCATGTGCTTTGCTTATATTCACAAATTCATGTTGCAGAAACTGCAAAAGATTTGGCTTTGTAGTGTCTGTAATTAAGCGCTTTATCAGCAGCAAATCGACAGCAGATGGATGATGCTTTGTCAGAAGTGGGACAGGAGGCATAACATCTGTCCTTCGCGCAAATTTTATCGTCAAATTTTTTCTGCAAGAACCAGAGTCATTTTATGCAAAGAATTAGAAGATTATTAATTTAGCAAAACACGAAGTACTGAGAAGAAAATGCATACTCTGCTGCATCTGAGAGAAATCTAAATAGGAATTGAGCATATGGAGTAATGACAGCCATCTGTCGCATGTAATGTAGTATCCTTGACTGCAGAAAATAAATTATAAATGTGCTTAGTAGTGATAGTTTACTATTTCAGTTTTTAGAAAGAAATGGAGATCCTACTCACACGATGAGTTGTCCAATTTCCCTCAATAATAACTTGAATCTCTGCCCCATGCCAGTGATCATTGTTCTCACGTTTCTCATGTAAATGAATGTGAGGGACATTTCTGGGTAGTAGGATTTACCATTATTAGTCAAGGTAAACTGCAGAGGTTAACAAATCAACTTACATGAAGATAAACAGTAATGACCAGTCATTCACTGTATTGCACAGAGCATTGACCAAGAAGCAGCACTTACTTATGAATATCTATGTCAAGTCGACAGAACGTGATATAATCTTGGCCTTTCATCGATGACTTAATATCAATAGGAAGGCCCGTACTCATCTTTGACCAAATAAGTGCCTGTTTAATACACGTTAAACTAACTGGAATTTGTGCAGTGCAATTCAATTAGACAGAACAGGCAACAAAGAGTATTAACTCCTAACTGCAAACATGTTCATAACTACAGAGTAACAGAATAAGATAATCATCTATCAGAATATCCATTACAGGTCCAATGTTCAAAGTCTGCTTACCGCAGCTAGTTACTCTTACTCAACTGAGGCAAAATGTCACACACATTCTGTATGCATGGGACAGCTTAACCATCAGAACACAAAGTTTACAAGCGTAAAACATAATTGTACATGTCTCACTATTGAAGATTAAACACAAATTTAGTGAGAAAATAGGACAACCGTTATAACTAAAATGTTGATTTTCTTTTTACAACTGTAGTTCAAACTTTCGTTTCTTCTTATAATCGTATCTCTAATATGGCTGTACAGGAACACAACGAAAAGGATTGTGAAAAGCAGCACAAGACGATCAATGTCTCCAAGCTACCAACAATACTGCATGGCTGCACATTTTCATTATCCAATATAAACAAGAAAATAGTCAGCTATGAACCAAAAGAGAGAAAACAAGTCCTAAACTTTGTTATGAGAAGGGCAAAATTCAGCCAAATGTTTGGATCCCATTGTTTCTTTCAAAAGGAATGGATGCTATACCTTCTTATGAGGGGGTCGTTTGTGACAAACAAAAAGGTTCCCTATTTAATTGTGTGAAGAAATTTTACCATTTTAGCACCAAGCCCAAATTTTCCACGCGTCTGCCTCAAACCATATTTTGTTCCCGATAGCACTGCATTAAAATATTAATAATACCAGTGATGTTGCACAGCATGCCATTATACCTTCTTCAGTGTTTTAATCTAAAATAAATCTGACAGAAAATATCCTATTGAAAGCTTGCTTACCTCTCCCAAACATGTTTGGGATATCTTCATGCGGCATACCTCGGCCATTATCCTACACACTCAAAACATTCAAGATTGTTTACAAGATACTAAGATAGATTCTCATCATACAAGTTAAGTCATTATGGACAATACCTTGCAAGTCACTCTAAAAAATGAAGCCTCGCCCCGACCTTTTCCACGAGCAGCTGGAGTGTCCTTAACTTTCTTCCCTAGAGCAGAATTTTTGGCTTGAGTTTCTTGGAAACGTGCTTCTTTAGCTAGGCGTTTCTAAGTATTGAGAAGTTTTACAGTAGTATCAGAATAAAGGAGGATAATCCAGACAGATAAATGGGTGTCAATAAAATATTTATATGGAAAGTATATCATCAGTATGCAAACCTTGTTTAACTAATGATGACCAAACTACTAATTTTTTGCAAGTGGTAGTATTACCTCACGAGCCTTAGATGATTCAAAATCATCATAGAGTGCTTCATCAACACGCTCTCTGTCAACTAGTCCTATCATTGTGTTGAATTTGCTCTTAGTGATCTCTTCTCTGGCAAGACATACGAAGAATCCACAGAGAGTTCTTTAACATTGCCAAGCGAAAAAGAACCAGATAATAGAAATGCTGTTGAAGAGCACTTACATAGTAATTTCTATATCGGGGAGCTCGGAGATGGACTCAGCTGAATCAAGAGCATTCTCAACTAGCTCCCGCATTGTGGTGTACAAAGATTTTCCAGGCTGCCCAGTATTATAAGTCACTGAAATGAGTTTGCTGACAACTAACAGAAATTATCTTCAAAACTATATTACTGTTCATCCATCAATTTTTAATTGACAGTTTCATTCCTATTTAGCCCAGTTCCGCGCAGTATGTTTCATGTCAATTTCAAACAAGACTGCGCTTAATCCAGGGGCAAATAAATGGCATGGCATCTATCTAAGCCTCAAAGGCAGTGATGTCGACCACTATGCCAGAGTAAACACAAACAGCGAGTTAAACAAGCTCACATTGTCAAAACCAGCGATGTTCTTGTTTTCCGCGAAGAACTCTGCGGGCGATTCTGCAACACAGAAGTCCCAAAAGGACCCGATTCAGCCGATAGAACCGATGCAAGGACGGAATTCTAGAAGAAAACGAAAGAACAAGGGGGGTTTCGAGGAGCTGACTCTGCTTGAGGAGGCTGCTCTCCTTGGCCTTGGGCACCGCCTTGGAGGTGGCCTTCCCTTTTCCCGTCGCCTTCCCCTTGGCGGCCGCCGCAGAAGGCTTCTTCTTAGTGCCGCCGGCGGTGGCTCCGCCGTCGCTGGAGTCGTCCATGGCGAAAATGGGTTCTGTGGGATCGGGATTGTAAGCTAGGGTTTGTTTGGGTTCAGGGGGCGGGGAGAATTGGGGAGAGAGGGGAGGTTCAACTGCGGGGATGCTACTGGCAATTAAAGTAAGTCGATCCTGCTGGTCCATGGAAGAATGGACGGCGCAGATAAATCTCAGTACAAAGTTGAGCAAACTAGTACTAGTAGTATTTTTTTAGGGCGCAAAATACAAAACTTGAGTTCAATTATGGACTGCCCAAAACTCATTTTTATGGGGAAATTGATGCTTTACTTAATTATGTCTTCGCGGGCTTTCTGACTAACGTAATATTTTTTAAAAAAAGACTAAAAGTTACACACTGGTCTTTGGGAAAATCAACACCACCTTCCTTCTATACTCACCGGTGATGTGTCGTGAGCAAAGTTGATGCCTCCTCTTGACCTCCAAAACACCGTTGGAGACAGAATAAGGTTGTTAAGCAACAACTAGAAAGTCACTGGTCGGAGCCAGAAGATGTCGGCGACAACGATATAGGAAACATGCCACCGTCCAGAGAAGAAGGCGATGAAAAGGGTTGGACGACTACCATAGATCCGGGGAGACATAACCTCACAAGCACCCGAAGGTGCCAAATCTTTCGTTGGTCGAATAAGGAGCTAGAGGACCAACACACGAAGCGGCGTCCAATGTCGAAAGATCCTTTGCGGATTTCTACCTAGCGACTATATCTTAGTTGTACTCTTGAGGGTGTCCGCCTCCTAAACAGTACACCCTCAAGAGCTTTCGTCGGTGATATTATGAAGGACTCGAGAGATTGTAAAGGCACGAAGATCGTCTACGGGGTGATATCTAGACTGGTCTCTCAAACCAACACCAGGCTTTTATGCGCATCTTTTTCTCACTCATGCGCGCCCGGAAAAAGAACTCCTGAGTTAGTCGCCCATCCTCAAGTTACCCCAATATAAGTAAGCTTAACGTGGAGGTTCCTTAGAGATGAGCTTCTGAGAAAATGTGCACCTTATTGATATGAGTTCTCTATCATTTCTATGAAGCCAGTACATCACATATACACCCATTCAAGGACCTAACATCCTTGTCGAAATCTGTAGGAACATTCCCTCTTGACACATTGTGCGTCCAATGTTGAAATGTTGACATATATGTCATGATGTGCCCATGTGTCATACGCCTGCGTAACCGCGAGAGTCAGTTCTGATACCATTTATAACACTCTAGACACACCCGTCGGTTCCCATCAATTATGCCTGGCGGAGTCCAAACTGGCCCTACAAACCAACACTAGTCTTTCATGCGCACTTTATCCTCACTTGTGCGCACCGAAAGAACTTCTTGATGGGTCACCCATCCCTAAAATACTTGGAGGTTCATTGGAGATGGCTTATGAAAAATAAGATGCACCTTGTTGATATGAGTAATCTATAGTTCCTAATAAGCCAGGATGTCACAGTTGACATGGAAGGGCGATATGCCATGGTGGAATATGTTGATTGCGCTCGACGGACGCTTGGTGGTTGCAAGATCGCGTAGTATAGTCTAGACGGAGTGAATATGTCACATGATAAAAATCATTACTCATGGCCCTCGGACAAGTGTGTTTGCTTAGGGCCTTTTCTAGCCAAAACCTATTTATACTAAGTAGGAATATTGCTTCTGCATCCATATCTCGAACCAAATCCATCCCACAAGTGTCCACTATATCTATCTATGTGGCCGAAATGACATTCCACATAAGTTGTCATCGTGGCGCCAAATTTTCGTTGCCAAAGTTTTGAAGGATTGGGAAGGGTATTTCAACTCTATTTGTAATGGTGGCCTATAAAATGAAAAATCTCATACAAAAAATCAAAGTTCAAATAAAGTGTTGAGATCCGGTTTGGATAGTAGAAAGTTTCCTTGCCTTTCCTAAGGAGTGATCCTTGGTTACCGAACCCACGAGAGAATGTGCACTACGATAAAGAGTCTGACGAGTTATTGTTTATCAAATTAAATATTTCAGTGTTTTAACCGGACCTTTAACAACCTTTTTGAGTGTAAGCACTTATATGAAAATATGGATGGGTATGAGATCTTACTCTCACAACCTTATATTTGCGCCTGGGATATCATCTTGAAAGACAAATCACTATGATGTGCTTGCTACGCGATGAAGTGGGGGATGTGTCCAAAATACGTCTTGACCGGTGCATGATCTGCATTAAAAGTCAGTTGTCCAACCCATGGCCCTTATCGTCACGCGTGGTTACCTCAGTTATTAAGAATAAATAGTCGAACAAAAGCATTGGGTGTTTAATGACTACACCTCATTCGCCCCTAACAAATTTACTTCTACTACCGTATCCCCTTCTCCCATTGTTGTTTAGGATAGCGTTCCACAACCTCTTCACTGCTTACCTTCTCCTTGATCGATCTATGGGATCCTGGGTAGCTGCAGGGCCTTAAAACGAGAACAAGATAAGAGACAATTTGTTGCAATCGGATACATACAAATAATGTCAAACACACAAAGTCGTTCCCACGATCCAGTGCACAGATATACAGGGTTGCAAGGCCTTGCCACAACCCATTGCCTTACTAAATTACTCACATATGGCAATCGGATCGCAAGATGAACTCATTGAAGACGACATAAAGATGAATTATTGATTGATAATATGCCTTACAATAGTTGTCGGATGTGATACACCCATTACAAGAGGAGAGAATGGTTGCGGTGCGGATGATGGCAGCGGCTATGGAGGTGAGATGGGAAATGGTGGCAGCTAGGGTTGGAAGATGGGTCATGGTTCTCCACTTTGCTAATGGTGCTCTATATTGAGATGTTGGCGTTGACCCACTTATAGAAGTTGGTTAGGTGGACGACCTGGTGCTGATGACGAGTGGTACGAGCGGCAGTACGAGCGGGCATGCACATACCGTGTGTCGTCTTGCGATCTAGATTGATCCTCGTGCCTCCTGCTGATTTGCCTCTTTCACCAAATTTCGTATTTTTCCTTCCATATGATGATATTCTTTCATGTTTGGGCCATTTCCCCCCGCAAAAACACGTTAAACAAAGGATTTCATGATCTCTCACATTCACTAGTCACTGGTAGCAATATCGAACTGATTTTCTCATAAATTTTGAGATTATCCGGTTTAAACAACGGTGTGAAGAGCATAAAAATAACACTCATCAGTGTCCAGTGGCTAAGCCACTACCCCGTGGGCATGAGGGTCAAAGACCTCATGCGAACGGGGTGTCCAAAGGGTTGCGCGCTACCCCGTGTGCACGGGGTTCTAGAGGGCTAACCACTAGCCTGTGCGCACGAGGGTCCAGGCCTCGTGCGCACGGGGTGACCAGAAGATTTTAGCACACCCCTTAGGCACAATGAGGACAAGGACTTGAAGGATAGAGGGCTCCTTTTTGGTGGTAGGTGTAGAAAGGTTAGTGTATGAGTTTTGGGTGTTCCCACACTATCATTCAACTAGCTTACCCCCCCCCCTTGATAGCGCGGTTGTCCTATGACTCAACTAAAATTGAAACAAAAGTTTGAGATGTCGGGAAACCATGCCTTTGATTTATTTGAAGTGGGGGTCAACCATGTCCTTGATAAACATCCAAGGAACCAATGACCTGAGATAAATCTTAGCAACTGTCATTAGTTACACTAATCATATTGTCATCACAGTAAAATACCATCTAGAGATAAATGATCTTCCCCAACACTCAACTTGATGTGACTTTCAGGAACCCAAGGGAGCTCGTTAAAGATGGCTCCAACCAATTCAAAATGAAGCGCAAGGTTTTGCTCAAGCCGAATACAACTAAACTCTTGACCATCTCGGGGCTACTGATGGTACAACATACTAGGGGTGTAATATCAGATGGGAAATTGACCCACCAGGTCGCCCTCGCTGCCTAGCAAGCCACTGCATTGCCAGGTCTCCTCACTCAGCTGGTAGGCCTACTCTAGAAGGCCCCACCAGCTTGGCATACAAGGTGAGGCCCATGATCTAAACAGTCTTAACCGACTAGGACACATGTAAACCCCATGCCTTGTCTCCCTTTATAAGGTGGGACCATGGCTAGTGTAGACACACCAAATCATAGATTCACTATCTCGATACATCCTATGATACTTCATTGTAACCTCTTCATACAAAGACATCCATACCATCAATCAAAACTAAAAGCATGCGTAACATATTACATCCAGAAAAGAGGGCCCGAACCTGGGTAAAAACTTTGTGTGATTTTCTTTCGGGTACTTTCAGTCATGCGCATCACCATATCGGCTTTAATGCGGGTTTATACACACATGTATTCTAGATAAAAAAAGACATGATTCATAGTTTTTTTATTCAAAAAAGGTCATTACAATAATACTAGTAAACCACAAAATTCTAAATTCAGCCTAGGTCCACATGCTTATGAGCAAAAGGATAAACAATAAGGGCGTGTTTGGTTGCCCGCATTAGGCCCAGCCTAGCCCGCGCGGGAAGAAAGTGGCCTGTTTGGTTTCCTGCGTTCACTGTGCGACCAGCATCGCACGGAACTTAAATCACATCCAGGCCATGCCCAGGGGAAACACCCGAATCGGCAGTAGCTCGCGAGCATGGCTCGGGCGAGGCAGGGGAGGGCGACGCGCTTCTCCCCTCGTGCGAGCAGGGGAGATGGCGCGAGCTCGCACGCGTCGCCGAAAAATCGGCGGGAGGATTTCGGCTCACCTCCCGCCGAGTCCACCCCTATTTAGCCCCTCCCTCACCGCCCCAACTCCCGCCACCATTCTTCCTCCATTAGAGCTTTCCTCCCGATGCGCATCGACACCGATGAGCAGGTAAGCGGTGCATCTTCATCGGCCAGCGGTCCACGGCATCGGCGCTCCTTCATCGGCCGACGTTCATCTTCCACGACCGTCCCTCCTCGTCCTCAAGCTGCAGCCATGACCTCTATGAGTTCAATCCCCCTTTCTCTCTGTTTCTTCTAGATAGATCTGAGCTACAGCTAGGGTTTGATCTAGATGCATGGTTGATTAGTGGTCTGATCTGTGAGCTGATATGGTTGATTCCTATGTTGTGTTTGCAATTAGTGGTAGGGCTAGATGTTCAAGCATGTGGTAGGCTAGATTAGTAGTAGAGTTTGAAGTTGATGAAGGAAATATGCCCTAGAGGCAATAATAAAGTTATTATTTATTTCCTTAATTCATGATAAATGTTTATTATTCATGCTAGAATTGTATTAACCGGAAACTTAGTACATGTGTGAGTACATAGGCAAAACTTATAGTCCCTAGTATGCCTCTACTTGACTAGCTCGTTTATCAAAGATGGTTATGTTTCCTAACCATAGACATGTGTTGTCATTTGATGAATGGGATGACATCATTAGGAGAATGATGTGATGGACATAACCTGTTGGGGATATACCCCGCGGTATGACCCGGCCGGAAGTATGACCCGGCCGGGCTTGGCATTTTCATTGGTAACTCGCCGGAGGACTGGCGACTCATAAATCTGGCAGCTCACTGGTCTGACGACTCACGAGCCTGGCGACTCACAGATGGCCCTGACGGCGGGTCAGATAGAAGACAAGGCCCAAGTCCCAGAAGGCCGGCTCATGCTATGGTGGGCCGGCCTAAGAGAAAAGTCATAAGGAATATTCTCCTACAAAGGAAGCAAGACTAGGACTCCACTTGTAATAGAGTAATCCTAATCCTACTAGGACTAGTCATGTAACCCCCCCCCTCCTTCAACTTATATAAGGAGGGGCAGAGCTCCCCAAAGAGGGACAAGTAATAAGAAAACAATCTCTAGGGCTAGACACAAAGAGCCGGCTTACCGGCGACTCCCTCATGATCATAATGAGACCTAGCCACAAACAACATGTAGGGTTATTACCGGATGATGTTTTCCCGGGGCCCAAAGCTATCTAAATCCTCGTCTTGTGTTGCGTCTCTCGATTCCGCCCAACCCCTCTCAAGCTACCGCATAGATGTGTTGACCTCGCGACTAAGTCCTCATACTAAGGACATCTACCGTGACAATTCCATGACATGACCGATCCGTTAGCTTAGCATTATGATCGTGTCAGTTTCATTGCTACTGCTTTCTTCATGACTTATACAAGTTCCTCAGACTATGAGATTATGCAACTCCCGAATACCGGAGGAACACCTTGTGTGCTATCAAACATCACAACATAACTGGGTGATTATAAAGGTGCTCTACAGGTGTCTCCGAAGGTGTTTGTTGGGTTGGCATAGATCGAGATTAGGATTTGTCACTTTGTGTTTTGGAGAGGTATCTCTGGGCCCTCTCGGTAATACTCATCACTATAAGCCTTGCAAGCATTGTGACTGATGAGTTAGTTGCAGGATGAAGTATTACGGAACGAGTAAAGAGACTTGCCGATAACGAGATTGAACTAGGTATTGAGATACTGACGATCGAATCTCGGGCGAGTAACATACCGATGACAAAGGGAACAACGTATGTTGTTATGCGGTTTGACCGATAAAGATCTTTGTAGAATATGTAGGAACCAATATGAGCATCTAGGTTCCGCCATTGGTTATTGACCGGAGACGTGTCTCAGTCATGTCTACATAGTTCTCGAACCCGTAGGGTTCACACGCTTAAAGTTCGGTGATGATCGGTATTATGAGTTTATGTGTTTTGATGTACCGAAGATAGTTCGGAGTCCCGGATATGATCACGGACATGACGAGGAGTCTCGAAATGGTCGATACATAAAGATTGATATATTGAACGGCTATATTCGGACATCGGAAGTGTTCCGGGTGATTTCAGAGAAAGCCAGAGTGCCGGAGGGTTACCGGAACCCCTCGGGAGAACTAATGGGCCACGTGGGCCTTATTGGAGAGAGAGAGGGCCGGCTAGGGCAGGCCGCGCCCCTCCCCCTCTGGTCCGAATTGGACTAAGGAAGGGGGGCAGCGCCCCCCTTTCCTTCTCCCTCTCCTCCTTCCTTTTCCCCTCCTAGTAGGAGTAGGAAAGGGGAGTCCTACTCCTACTAGGAGGAGGACTCCTCCTCTCCTGGCGTGCCACAAGGACCGGCAGGCCTCCCCCCTTGCTCCTTTATATACAGGGGCAGGGGGCACCCTAGAACACACAAGTTGACATTGTTTAGCCGTGTGTGGTGCCCCCTCCACAGTTACACACCTCGGTCATATCATTGTAGTGCTTAGGCAAAGCCCTGCACCGATAACTTTATCATCACTGTCACCGCGCTGTCGTGCTGACAAAACTCTCCCTCGACCTCAACTGGATAAAGAGTACGAGAGACGTCCCCGAGCTGAATGTGCGCTGATCGTGGAGGTGCCGTACGTTCGATGCTAAGATCGATCGGATCATGAAGACGTACAACTACATCAACCGCGTTGTTATAACGTTTCCGCTTTCGGTCTACGAGGGTACGTGGACACACTCTCCCCTCTCGTTGCTATGCATCACCATGATCTTGCGTGTGTGTAGGATTTTTTTTGAAATTACTATGTTCCCCAACAGTTGAAGCTTGTGCTTGTGTTGAATCATGCTTAGATCTGTGATTTATAGCTATTGGTGGTCCATTTGTGGCATGTTGTTTGTTGTAGATGTATGTTCCTGCTCATAGATTATCCGATATGCTTGGTATGATAGCGATGAAGCATGTGCTTACTATGATAGTGATGAACAATGTACATGTATGCTTCTGCTTTCATGGATTATCCGGTATGTTGTGTGCTATGCTTACTGTCAATGCGTGCTACGATTGTAGGACATGGCCACACAGACGCAATATCTTAGTCAGGCCCTTGTCGTATCCGACAGTCAGTTTGCTCCATCGTTTGTCGAGGACTCGCAACCTATGTCCAAGATGGCACCTGATTCAGAGGTGTTCGAGTCTGATTCCCTCTATGTGCCAGTAGTGCTCGTTGAGCCAACTCCTGCTGCTGCTGCTGCTGCCGCTGCAATCAAGCTAGCAGCAGCAAAGGCAAAGAAGGATGGTAGGTCGAACAACATGAAGTGGCAGCCGTTCATGTCCACGTTCATGCTGAACAAGATGTGTGAGCTCATCTCTAGTGGAGTTAGGACTGACAAGGGCTTCAAGGAGGTGCACTTGAACACCGTTGCGAAGCAGGTGTTTGAGTTCTGTGGGCAAGAGGTGTCTGCCACCCAGGTGTACAACCACCTAAGGAAGTGGAAAAGTCGATGGATCCAAGTGTCCAAGCTGAGAGACCTTAGCGGTGCCTCATGGGATGAGAACACTTGCTCCATAGTTCTGGAGGCAGAGCACTACGTCGGCCATGTCGCGGTTAGCTCACAACCCTCTTCCTTTTCATACTGTCCACCATTGTCTACTCCTAATCGCAACTAACAACACTTGTGTTTCATTCTTAGGACCACCCAAGGGACGCTGAGTTCCTCAACACACCCATCCAGAACTACAACTAGATGCATCACATCTTCTCCTTCGGGCTGGCAACTGGGAAGCATGCCATGGGCTCGGGTGAGCCTCTTGGTTCTCCCATGCCAGACTTCCCTGGGACACCGGACATCGAGGTCCTTGATGGCCCTGACAAGCCCACTGCAAAGCCCTTCGACAAGCCATTTGACCCCGTCCATGATAGGAAGAGGAAGAGAGGAGGCCTGATGGAGGAGGAGATCAATGTCTTTTGCAGTATGACCGAGGCGGTGAAGGAGGTGGCAACAACCATCAGGGAGTGCAAGCCCCTCGACGTCCACCCTGACCTGTATGGCGCTGTCATGACCCAGGGTGGCTTCAGCGACGAGGCTCTCATGGCAGCTCTCAGCCATCTGCTTGACAACAAGGCCAAGGGTGTTGGGTTCGTTGCCATGGCTGACGCTCACAGGGTGCTGTGGCTCAGGAGCTGGCTGGGCAAGCACTACTACTAGAGTAGTGCTTCCTGTGAGCGTGCATGATCCCCGACGGTGATGGCGGTGGCGACAACAACGACGATGACGATGACGACGTACATTTTGTGTAGCTAGGGCTCAAAAACTATTTGATGGTCTATATATTTTGGTGAGGTGGTATATACTAACCCCTCACTCTGATGGTGAACTTGCGGTGGTAGGACGACACCCTCTTTTGGATGTGGTGGTAGGTTAACACCAAGGTAGTGCTAGGTTGAACTTGCTATGCCGTATGATCATGGATGCTTTACTTCTCTTCTGCTCCATTGTTGTTTGTGTGCTACTTTGCTTGCTACTTGTGTGCTCCATTGATTTGCTGCTTCAACTCTTACTCTTGTGCATTGCTAGGGCAAGTGGTATGCCGTGTTCATCGGTGAGGCTCCAGGGGTTTATAGTTCATGGGAAGAAGCCAATGCACAAGTGGCATCGTATAGAAACAACAACTATAGAGGGTTCAAGACTAGGCAGGCAGCAGAACAAGCTTACTCCGCCTGGGTGCGAAAGCACGGAGGCAGCAGTGTTGATAGTGGCAAGGTTGGAGGTGTCAAAGTGGAAGCTGCTAAGTAGGATCATCAGTTTGGGCTGAAGCTGAAGAACTTCATCATCTTCGCCCAGTTCATCACCATTGTTGTGTTGTGGCGTTGGTGTGCTAGGTGTGATCATTGTGGGTAAGCTCACCAACTAGGGTACAAGGTAAGCACAACATGTACGCCGTATGCAACCAAACACCGTGTTCATGTGCCGCTACGGCCAATGCAGGCAACCAACACAAAGTGTACTTGCGTATTACCTAATGCAGGGACACTAGACGCAGGCAATCAAACAACTTGCAGATGGCGCATTAAGGCCTGTTTTTGCTCAACCAGGCTGGATTGAGAAGTGTATGCGATGCAGGAACTGTTCACAACGGCAACCAAACACACCCTAAGAGCATATCTAGTAGATCCCTCAAACCCTTAAATCTAAAACTAGTTTTAAGGGTTGAGAATTGGCCATTTTTGACACTTTTAAGGGTTGAAAAACAGGGGCAAAGACTAGAACCCTCAAACCCAACCCTTATAACAGAATATTTCGTTATAAGGATTGGGTTTGAGGGTTCTAGTCTTTGCCCCAACCCCAACCCTTAAAACTGTCATTTGGCATATCACAATTTTCATCATCTCGATAACACCGGATAGTACTTTCAAACACATAATAATCATTCAATTTATTACAACAATGTTTTGAAGCAAATTATAATAATTGTTCGAATCAAATAGGACATAGAAAAGTAAACAAAGGCAGATCATGGGCCTTGGCGCCGCCTAGCCAACTGCCACTGGTGCTCTACTAGATAATCCCGGAGCTGACCATGAGTGTTTGCATCCTCAATCTGACGATGTGCTTCAAGAAAAGCTTGTACACGACAAGGGTTTCTTTCCGGTTGCACACGAGTACCAACATTCATAGAAACAAGGCAATTTTAACCCTCTCTCATCCTCGATGATCATGTTGTGTAGAATCACACAACATTTCATGATGTTCTCCAAGGTTTTTTGTCCCGAAAACGAGCTGGACCCCGAACTATGGCAAATCTTGCTTGCAAAACACCGAAAGCTCTCTCAATATCCTTGCGGGCTGCCTCTTGTGCCTTGGTGAAATGAGCCTCTTTTCTGGTTAAGGGCACCCCATTTTTCTCCTTGATGGACTTCACAAGAGTTTCCCAATCGGGGTAAATTCCATCGGTGAGATAGTATCCCATTGAGTACTCATTGTCCATTATTTTGTAGTTGCAAGTTGGAGCATCCCCGAAAACTAATATTTTGAACAAAGGAGATCTATTGAGCACATTGATATCATTGAATGTTCCCGACAAACCAAAAAAATGCATGCCAAATCCATGTGTCCTCCGATGCCACGGCCTCAAGCACAATGGTAGCATCACGGCTTTTACCGCAATACATTCATTGCCATGCCTTTGGACAATTTTTCCATTTCCAATGCATGCAATCAAGACTACCAAGCATCCCCGGCATCCCCTTTTTTCATTCATCTCCATCAATCTCTTTGTATCTTCCTCGTTGGGTGCCCGAAGATACTCATCACCATACAACCGGATGACCAATTTTGCAAACCTACGAACGGATGCCGTGGTTGTATCTTGTCCAATGCGAAGATACTCGTCCGTATAGTCCGCGGGTATGCCATAGGCGAGCACCCGCATTGCACCTGATATCTTTTAGTATGCACTAAACCCCATGATACCGGCGGCGGATCTACGGAGCTTGAAGTAATCTGAGGCGGCCTCACAATCAGTGACAATTTTCACAAACAAACTACGGCGCATTCGGTACCTTCTCCGGAAGAGGCGAGGTGGGTATGTTGGTACCTCCGCGAAGTAGTCTTGCATCAAATGTTCGTGTCCGAGACATCGGTTCCGGTAGATGGTGACTTGCCCCATCTTCGACCCTCTCCTCTGATCCATCAGCTTCACGCGGTCTTCAAACTCTTGCACGTCGAGGAGGAGGCCCATCATCTCGAAGTCATCATCTTGAAGCAAGTCCTCAATGTCCGAATCGTCCGATGACGACCAACCAGAATCATCGGACAAGGCATCCATCTACACAACACAAAACAAAAAAAATGTAGTGTTGCTCTGTAACAAAAATACAGGAAATAGGGCTGGCCGGAGCTCGCTGTGGAGGAGGCCGGCGGTATGGAGACAGAGGGATGAGGAGCAGGGGAGCTCACCTTGGACGGCCCGCGGTGGAGGAGGCCGGCGGTGTGGACGAGCTCGGGGGGCGGCGGTGGAGGAGCTCGGGGCGGGACGGTGGCGGTGGCCCGAGATGCGGCCGGAGGCGGCTCGGGTCGGCGCGGGGGCGGGACGGCGGCGGCGGCGGCCCGAGATGCGGCCGGTGGCGGCTCGGGGGAGGCGCGGGAGGAGGTTGGGGACGGGAAATTTCCCTCCCGCGCGTGGCCGGATCGAAGTGAGGGTTGGGATAGATTTTGCCCCCCAATCCTCACTTCTACATGTTGGGAGAGGGTTTGCAGGTCCGATCCTTAAATTTTTTTAAGGGTTTAAGGGTTAAGGGGTTCTAGTCTACGCATTTTTTTTGTCCAACACGTAAAAAAATGATTATTTCTGTTTTTTAGGGTTTAAGGGCTCTATTGGACATGCTTTAAGAGTGTCCAAGACAAAAAAAGTGATGGTGCATGAAATCATCTTTTTGAGATAGCTAACCGCTCGCGCGGTGTAGTGCCTGAAATCACATTTGCTCCTTTTCAGCCGTGGATGCAGTCTTGACATGAAATTTTGTAATATTGTACATACATATACAATGACTTATTTGTATTTGTTCAAAGAAAAATTATGTTTTTTATGGGGGGCCGTTTTCAGTCTGGAAGCACCAGTGAGCAGAGCATCCCTCCGACAGAGCACAGCGGCCCAACAAAACCACACCGGAATCCGGATAACGTTCTTCCCTTGCCTCCTCCCTCCTCGCTTCGCCACCCCATTCCTCCCCTCACCCGTGTCCTCTCCAGCCACTCTAGCTCCAATGGCGACCACCATCTCCTCTCTAGCGGCCCCTCACTCCCTCCACCGCCGCTGCTGCCGGAGCCCCGCATCCGCCTCGACCCCCGCCCGCGTGTCATTCCGCGCCGCGCCCCCGGCCGGCGCGGCGGCGCGGGCGAGGCGCCGGGCGGCGGTGAAGGTGCTCGCCTCCTCCGCGGTGATGGAGGCGCCCGAGGAGCTGGCCACGCGGAAGCTCTACGTGGGGAACATCCCCAGGACCGTCACCAACGACGAGCTGTCGGCGATGTTCGCCGCACACGGCACCGTCGTGCGGGCCGAGGTAACGCACTAGTGCAATGTAATGCTGCTCTAGTATCGGCGACGCGCCCAGTACCCACTCCAAGATCGAATTCGTCATCTGGTCGCGATAACGAATTCTCCAAACATTCTGTTGTTTACTCACTATACTAGTATAATATTTAGTTCTTATCATGTTCTTGTTCTTGTTTTTTATTTATTTATTAAGGAGGTTGAAACCTCCGGCCCCTGCATCATGTCGGTCTAGAGTTGGACCACACAAATAACTAGAGCCTGATGTATGCAAACCCTAGGGAGGGATCAACTATCATAGTTTTCCTGCCAATTTTACAAGATAGAAACAATGTAACATGCAAATGGCTATGGTGATGAATTGCTTGCCGTATCTTGGTATTTATATCACTAAAATGATTGCTTGCCTGATAATTTCACAGGTTATGTATGACAAGTATAGTGGTCGGAGCCGGCGATTCGGGTTTGTCACGATGAGCACGGCGGAGGAGGTCGCTGCCGCCATTGAGAGCCTGAATGACACCGTAAGCTTCATCCCATCGTTTGTCCGGTCATGCTTATGCATGCAGTGGATGCACGAGTGACGTGTGTTTGTGCTTTGATTGTACCAGGAGGTTGGAGGTAGAAAAATTAAAGTGAATGTGACAGAGAGCTTCTTACCAAACATTGATACATCTGCACCGGAATCGGAACCTTCGTTTGTGGACAGCCAGTACAAGGTTTATGTTGGCAATCTTGCAAAGAAAGTGACAACGGAAGTGCTCAAGAACTTCTTCTCTGAAAAAGGGGAGGTCCTCAGTGCCACGGTATCCCGAATTCCGGGAACTCCAAAGTCCAAGGGATATGGGTTTGTCACGTTTTCTTCAGAGGAAGAAGTGGAAGCTGCGGTTTCTACTTTCAACAATGCAGTAAGCTTCTTTTGCACAAAAATGCCACCTGCTAGTGTGCAGTTGTTTCCTGATCACATTACATCACTTGACAATAAAAAGCAGACTATGGTTTCAAAACTTGATATGCGACAGCTACGGAGATAATAATAATGTTTGAAACAAATCAGGACCAACTTTGCATGTTCAGATGAACTAGATCAAATTCAGACCAAATTATATTTTTTAATGCCTAGACTACTGGTCAAATTTACTTTGATATTTCATCA